CACGTTGAGGCCGTCCATGACCTGCGACTACAAAGGTACAGAAAACCTACCAGACACTTAGCAGGAATTCGCTATCATCCAGGCGCGGTGGCGGATCATGCGACCATCGTGCAAAGTATCGCTATGCGGCCTGATGGTCCAGCGAGGATGGCGGATTCTTTGGAGTGGCATTCAATTCATTCAGGAGGGACCAACATCTCGCGCCGCCTTCGACCACGAAGCAGGGCCAGCCCACCAGCTCGTCCCTCATCAGTGCAATCCCTTTGGCGTAGTATCGCTGGATGCCTGCGACGCTCGCGCGTTTGCGGGTTAGGCGAGGCACTGAGTTTTAAGGGCAACGGCGGGGGTGCTTCGGCCATCATCCTGAACAGGCGCTGAGCACCTTCGCGCAGTAGTGCTCAACAGCCTATTCCGGTTGAGTCATCCAAGACGCTTTTCGGCTGGTGACCGCTCGTCCCCATCAGCATTCCACAATCTGTGTACTCACGAGGTGGTCTGTAATGCCGCTACCGGTTCTTATTTTCATGGGGGACTATTTGTTTTGGTTCATTCTTCTTTGTCCCCTCCTCTCGCTTGCGCGCTGGAGGCTACAGCGGGGACGCCGGTCAAGAATCCGCTCGTAAATTGCCAGGGTGCCCGAGGCTTTTTGGATTCAGAGATGCTTGCGTTGAGAACCCCAAGGTTTGCAGACCCCGAGTCCGCCAGGATCCCTGAGCTGACAGTGTTTGGGTTGTGGTTGAATTACTCCTGTGTGATTCTGGCGACTGCTTGAATCACATGGACTGGGCACTTGGGCCTGCCTCCCCTCCCCCTACCCCCTGGGCACGCGAGTCGTCGATGAGTGTGATCGTGCGCCACTATTTTTGATCGCCTCCCTTGGCAATGAAGAAATGGCTCCAGGGCAACAGATGCACTTCAACTTTGCCCTCCTCCTCTCCCTCGGCATGCCCATCGACGGCAGGCCCTGGGGCTCGAAGCGACAGATCATCAAGACTGTCTCGGCGGGAGCCCGAATGCTGCTAGGCAAGCGAAGCGAAGGCCCGTGTGTGGTCGACTCGGCGGAGCTCCGAGGCTGGCCCGTGCGTTCGTTCGGCATGCCCACCTGCTCTGAGAGCCGACGTCGCGAAAAACTGCCTCAGCTCGTCCGGAGCCCTTGGGCCCATCTGTCTGCAGCACTTTTCGAGCCGGATCGACCTGTGAGGGCCCAGGGGCCCGAAGCAGTGAAACAATTGCGACGCCAGGATCTGAAGGTCTGGTAAGGCTTCGGGTTGCGCACAGACAGCCTCCCAGCTAGCCTCAACATGCCCCACGAGAAGCCCCGGACTGCTCGGGGGGCTTGTTGAGGCCAGCCCAGCGGGGACTGCTCGGGGGGCCTGGAGGCCAGCCTATGTCTGGGGGCCTGTCTGTGCGCCGGCTGAAGCCTCACCATCAGGGTCTTCTCGGAGGGCGCCAGCTGACACCGATCCTGGCCCGGCCAGCCCTGGGCCCAGGATTGGTGTACGGGCCTTCCTGGCCAAGCTGTCAGGATGGGCCTGACCTGGATCAAAGTAGGCGTATAGTTGGCGCCCTTGTATCTTCGCGCCGCGAAAAGATCACGAGGTCGCCTCGACCTGCCCCAGCATCCCAGGGGACCATCTCGCCGCGTGCGCTCCGTGTGAGGCGCTTGCCGAGCCCGCCGGTGGTTTGCAGGTCTGGCGCCCCCCTGCCCCCTCGCGCGCGGCGCGGATGTCTCGAGCTCGCCAGCTCCGCCCTGCTGCCTCCCCAGACTCTTTGGGTCATGAAAAAATAATGACGAACTGATTTGGGCCGCTTTCGGCTTCTGGGGGACTCCACCAGTCCCCAGGACCCAGGACCGTCAAAGACGACTCGGGATGAAAAACGGTCCTGGAGGGTGGGTCCAGACCGTTGGGGTTCCACGCCACGAAAAAGTTGCGGCGTCGGAGGTCTGTGTCTGTGTCCCCAGGCCTCAGCATCGTTTATCTGATCTCCATCCCCACTGGAAAATGTTGGTTTTCTTTTTCCCTCTGGCGCGTAACGGTCGTTACCTGGGCCAAACCCTGCCCCATCCCGGGGTTACGGTAACGATTGTACGCAGGGGGGGCATGGACCCCTCACATGTTGGTGTTCGCGCGCACATTGTGGCGATCTCTCGCACCCCCGCCCCGACGTGCCCACCCCGCCCAAGCGTTACCGTTACACGGCCCCCCCCGCCCCCCGGCCCCCCGGTTGACGACCACTACCCCAAGATGGGGATAGACCCCTCGAAACCCGAAGATAACCGCATACATCCCCATGTAAGGGGGCAGATCGGTCAGTGGGGCCAAGGCCATGCCTGCAGCGTGATTGTGTCATCACCCGAGCCGTTCCTTGGCGTGTCCTGGGGGCTTGGGCAGGCCCCACACCCAGGTGCGGAGACTTGCCCAAGAAGCGTCCCGCGGTGATCTTTTCCCGACGGGAGGAGGTGGGGTTCTGCCCACCCCTCCCTCGGGATTAGAATTATCCTGGCGAAGAACCCAACCATATGCAGTTGTGAGTAATGCAGTTGTGAGTATCGTCTTCGGTGGAGCTCCCGATCGGACTACGAAACGTGTGAGTGGTGTGCCGCAGAGGGTGCGGCGGGCGCATGGGAACGCAGCCACTTGGGTCTTCGGTGGAGCTACCAACGGGGCCACGAAGCGTGTGAGGGGTGTGCCAAAATGGTTGCGGCGGGCGCATGCGAACGCAGCCAGCGGGGCCTTTGGTGGAGCTCCCTGTGGGGGCACGAAGCGTATGAGGGTTGGGCCGACATTGGTGCGGCGGGCGCATGCGAGCGCAGTCATTGTGGCGTTCGGTGGAACTCCCTTTGGGGCCAAGAAGCGTGTGAGGGTTGTGCCGAAATGGGTGCGGCGGGCGCATGTGGACGCAGCCATTGGGGCCTTCACAGGAGCTCCCCATGGGGCCACGAAACGAGTGAGGGGTGTGCCCCAATGGGTGCGGCAGGCACATGCGAAGGCAGCCAGTGCGGCCTTGGGTTGAGCTCCCTATGGGGCCACGAAGCGTGTGTGTGGAGCTACCATTGGGGCCACGAAACGTGTGAGGTGTTTTTCAAAGTGGGTGCGGCAGGCGCATGCGAACTCAGCCATTGGGACCTTCAGTGGAGCTCCCTGTGGTGCCACGAAGCGTGTGAGGGTTGGGCCGGTGCGGCGGGCGCATGCGAACGCGGTCATTAGGACCTTCGGCGGAGCTCCCTATGGGGCGACGAAGCGTGTGAGGGGTGTGCCGAAACGGACGCAGCCACCTGTGCCTTCGGTTGAGCTCGCTTTGGGGTCACGAAACGTATGAGGGGTGTGCCGAAATGGGCGCAGTAGGCGCATGCGAAAGCAGCCACTGGGGCCTTCGGTTTAGCTCCCTATGGGTCCACGAAGCGTGCGAGAGTTGTGCCGAAATGGGGTGGCGGGCGCGTGCGAGCGCAGCCACGGGCCTTCGGTCGAGCTCCCTATGGGGCCGCGAAACGTGTGAGGGGTGTGCCGGAATGGGCGCGGCGGGCACATGCGAACGCAGCCATTGGGGCCTTCGGTTGAGCTCCCTATGGGGTGTACCAAAATGGGTGCGGCGGGCGCACGCCAACGTAGCCATTGGGGCCTTGGGTAGGGCTCCCCATGGGGCCACGAAGCGTGTGAGGGGTATGCCGAAATGGGTGCGGCGGGCACATGCGAAGGCAGCCATTGGGGCCTTCGGTGGAGCTACCAATCGGGCCACAAAACGTGTGAGTGGTGTGCCGAAATTGGCGCGGCGGGCACATGCGAAGCCAGCCATTGGGGCTTTCGGTGGAGCTACCAATGGGGCCACGAAACGTATGAGGGGTGTGCTAGAAGTGGTGCGGCAGGCACATGCGAAGGCAGGCATTGGGGCCTTTTGTAGAGCTCCCTTTGGGGTCACGAAACGTGAGGGGTGTTTTCCGAAGTGGGTGCGGCAGGCGCATGCGAGCGCATCCACTGTGGCCTTCGGTGGAGCTACCAGTGGGGCCACGGTGTGTGTGTGTGTGTGTGTGTGTGTGTGTGTGTGAGTTGTGCCGGAATGTGCGCGGCGGGCGCATGCGAACGCAGCCACTTGTGCCTTCGGTTGAGCTCCCTTTGGGCCACGAAACTTGTGAGGGGTGTGCCGAAAAGGGTGCGGCGGGCTCGTGCGAACGCAGCCATTGGGGCCTTCGGTAAAGCTCCCCATGGGGCCACGAAGCGAGTGAGGGGTGTGCCGAAATGCGGCACATGGCAAAGCAGCCAGTGGGGCCTTCGGTTGATGGGGCCACGACGCGCGCGTGGGGTGTGCTGACATGGGTGCGGCGGGCGCAATCGAGTGCAGCCCTTGGGCCCTTCGGTGGAGTTCCCTTTGAGGCCACGAAGCGTGTAAGAGTTGTGCCGGAATGGGTGCGGCGGGCGCACGCGAACGAAATAATTTGCGGCCTTCGGTCGAGCCCCCTATGGGGCCACGAAACGTGTGAGTGGTGTGCTGAAATGAGCACGGCGGGCGCATGCGAAAGTAGCCAGTGGTGTCGCCCGTTTCTTTTACCCCCCCACCCTATGAGTCTCCATGGTTGTTGCATGGTGTATTTACCGCCACTGTGGTGGCTCTAGCACGCGTGCGTGTATTTGCACTAAAAGGTGCTGCGCCCCTTCCCTCCGCATCTCCCACGCCCCAGATCCCATCGCATCCCCAGGTGTTTCTTAAACTTTGACGTGCTGCGAATAATGGTGAGCGGAACGATCACGGTTGATAGCGATCCAGGACAATTAAGAGACGCAGTCGGGCGAACCGCAGAGGAGGATGAGGAGTAGGAGGTGGCGACAGCCACAGCCACGGCCAGCGCACCGCCGCACGGAGGAGATGTTGGCCTAGTGCCGCTACCAGAGCAAGAAGAGTCAGGCGAGACCGTCCAGTCGGGGGACGGGTCAGGGGAGTCACTCTTGGACGACGTGGTGGGGAGCCTGGAGCTGGCATCGAGATCCGTGGACTGATGGAGGTCCATGGTCTCGAACATGGACGACAGTTGGCGCAGCCGCCGGCACCGAGGCGGTCCTGTGGCAGGGCGGCGAGGCGAGGCGACGAGGGCCAGCCAGGCTCCAGCCGCCCCGCCTCTGCCGAGGTGGAGCGCGGCCCACGCCGCAGTGTCGGCGGCGAGGCCAGCTGAGCCAGCCTCGGCTCCCCCGCGGGCGGTGCCCACGGCAGCCCCCGCTCAGGTCCTGGCGCAGCCGCCAGCGCCAGAGCCGACGTTGCCGGCCGCTGCCTCCGCGGGGTCGGCTTCATTCGCCTGGCGCCCGCCCGAGTCTGTGGTGAACACCTGGCCGCCAGCCGCTCCGCGCCAGCGAGGTGACAACCAAGGGCCGCAGCACTGGCAGGGATTGGACCGCCTTGATACGTGGGTTGTAAACATCAAGAGGTGGTTGAAGAGAACGTCGTTGTCTCCCGAGGCACAGGTTGGACGCGTGGTGGATGAGCTCCTGGTGGGGCTGCAGGAGAAGTTGACGTGTATCTGAGAAGAACTGGATGCCCTTGGTGGGTTGGAGGTTTTGATCAGGTATCTCAGGCAGACTCGCGGATATCGAGACGACGACAAGGCCAAGCAGGCTTTTGACAACATGCTGTGCAATGCGGAGATTCGGACCTGACCCAGTTCATCCTTCGTCGAAAGATGGAGGTGCGCGAACTCAACAGGTACGGTCTGGCCCTACCTGAGAACCTACAAGTGGAGCAACTCAAGGCAGGGCCCCGCCTCAGCGAGCAGAACATCATCAATCTGCTGTCGATCTCAGGGCCGCGACGCCCTCGAGTCAGTGAGGAGGGCCATGATGAAGACGGACGCGGGGCGGAACATCGACAGCTCGACCAGACGCCCAGAAAAGACTTTCGCAGCGATCGACGAGGATAATGGGTGTGGGGCCCGAGAGGGCGACGATCACGCGGATCTGGTGCTCTACGAGTTCTGGGGGGATACCGACCTGGGCGACGCCGACGTCGACGCTGCGCGCGCCGCCGCGGTGGGGCAGGAACTCGATGAGGAGCAGCTGGCCAACGCGGCGGCGGCCGTCATGGATGAGCAAGGAAGGCGGGCCCAGGAAGCGGGCCGAAGCGGATGATCTAAAGAAGGCGATGGCCCCTCGAGTAGGATTCGGCGAGCAGAAGTCGAGTATCGACGAGCTCGAGGCCCGCGCCGAGTGTGTAAACTGTGGGCAGCGAGGGCGCTGGCAACGCGAGCGCGCCAATCTTTTTCGCCCGAGGCCGAAGGGGCAAGCTCGAGACAGTGCGGAGACTTTGTAAGTGTCCACGACGGAGGGGAACACGGCGGCAATATGTTCGACCCTCGGAGGTGAAGTTTATACATATAACGGCGCACGGGGTCCGGGCGCCCCGGGTCCGGCGCCGCTACCACAAATGTGGGGCCGGTTCCGGGGCCCTCGGGGAGCCCTGGGGCCTCACGGAAGGCCGCCAGAAGGCGCCAAGGAGGCCCCAAGAGGCTCGAGAACAGACCCAGGGCGCCCGAAGGTCGCTCCCAGACGCCCAACATGGCCTCCAAGGCGGCTTCAGAAGCCCCCTAAGACACCCCAAGCGACCCTCAATTGGGTCCCAAAGAAAGCCCCAAGGGGCCAAAATAGCCCCATTCCCTTCGTAAAGCGTATCTTTTGAACATACTGCTTGTTTTCGCTGTCGGTCCATGCTTGACGACCTCAGAAGCTCCCAAGACCGCCCCAATACGGCCCAGGACGCGCCCCAGAGGGCCCCAATACAGCCCCAGAAAGCTCCAGGACGGCCCACGAAGGGCCCAAAACGGCCCAAGAGAGTCCCCAAGACGGGCCCGAGAGGGCCCCAGAGGAGGAAAGCCACCATCGAATTCCAAGCTTTCGACCCCAAGTGGCTCCAGGAGGCGCCGAGAAGCTCCCAAGAACCGCCCGGAAGGCTCCCAAAAACACCCCAAGACGCTCCAAGAGGCACCCCAAAAGAGCTCCAAGAAGCAAGAATCGTCCCATTCCTGTGGGACAACGTATATTTTTCGTATGTTCGCTTGTTGGGCTGTCATCGCGTCCAAGACGGCCCAAGGGGTTCCCAAGACGGCCTAGGAGGCCACCAAAAGAGCTCCAAGACGGGCCACGAGAAGCCCACCAGGACGGCCCAATGGGCCCCCAAGACGGCCCAAGAGAGCCCCAAGACGCGCCCGAGAGGAGTCCCAGAGCAAGAAAGCCATTCTCGAATTCCGAGCCTTCGGCCCCAAGAGATCCCAGGAGGCGCCGATACGCCCCCAAGAGGCCCCAAGCAGGCCCCCCAAAGCACCCCAAGATGCTCCAAGAGGCACCCCAAGAGAGCCCCAATAAATTTTAATCCTCCCAGTCCTATGGAAAAACGTATATGTTTCGCATGCTCGCCTCTTAGGCTGTCACCGCGTCCAAGACGGCCCAAGAGGCCCCCCAAAACGGCTTAGGAGGCCCCCGAGAACTCTCCAAGAGGGCCTACGAGGAACGCAGGCCGGCCCAATCGGCCCCCAAGTCGGCCCAAGAGAAGCCCAAGAAACGCCCGAGAGGGGTCCCAGAAGAAGACAGCCATTTTCGATTTCCGAGCTTTCGGTCCCAAGAGCCCCCAGGAGGCGCCGTTAGGCCCCCCAGAGGCCCCAAGAGGCCCCCCACAGCACCCCAAGACGCACCCAGGAGGCCTCCAAGAGGCCCCCAAGAGGCTCATAACTTGGTTCTAATGCGCCGGCGAGAGGCATCCAAGATGCCATGCGAACCTTGTCTCTGGGGCCGTAGGTGGATCTCCTGGTGGGCCAAGACCCGTGTCAGGGGTGTGCCGACTCGGGTGGATCGGATGCGAACATTGCTGGGCGCCGTCGGTTGAAGTCCCTGTTTGGCACGACCCGTTCGAGGTGCGAGCCGGAATATGCGGGAGACGAGGAGGACATGCAGAAGGAGACGAGGGACAGAAGGAGGAGGGATAAGAGGAGGGAAAGGGGGGGGCTTTCGACCCCCGAGGTCTCTGGGAGCACTCGGCCCCATCTTCGATATTGATTTCGCGTCGTGGGCTCGTTTCCGAGGGCCCGGGGGCCAGGGGCCAGCGCCACGACCACAAATACAGGGCCAGGGCGTAATTTTCCTTGAGACCTGGGGCCAAAAGGACCCCAAGAGGTTGCAGGGAGGCCCCGGGAGGCCGCAGCGATGGCCCCAGACGCCTCCCATGACGCCAAGAAGGCCCCCGAAGGCCCCGGAGACGCCCCAAGAGGCACCCCGAGAGAGCCCCAATAAGCAAACATCGTCGACCCAAGCCGCCCAAAAACACCCCAAGACGGCGCCCAAGACGGGGACGAGGAACCGGAAATTCCCGCCTTTTGGCCCAAGAGAACCCCAGGAGATCCCAAGAGGCACCAAGAAGGGGCCCAGAAACCCCAAGAGGCCCCCATGAGACCCGAAAGCGCACATCAAAAAAAACCTCGAATACGCCCCAAGAGGCACCCCACTAGAGCCCAAATAAGCAAACACCGTCGATTTTCAATTGGAGAACTTATATTTCCCCACATGCTTCGTGGGGTTCTGGTTTTCTTCCCCGCCGCGCCGCGCCCGCGTCTCCCCCACACCCGCCCTCCTCCCCTCCTCCTCCTCCTCCTCCTCCTCCTCCTCCTCCTCCTCCTCCTCCTCCTCCTCCTCCTCAGCACAGCGCAGCACAGCACAGCAACCGCAGCACAGCATAGGACAGCACAGCACAGCTCAGCAGAGCACAGCACAGCACGTCTCGGCGACACGCGTCTACATACAGCCGCACGCATGCACACACTCGCACACACAAGACGACACCAGTCCTGGCATAGCAGGCGTGGCACTTTCTCGACACCATAGGGGGTGCGCAGGGGGTGGTCTCTCGCTGCGGTCTCTATACGCCCCAGTCGTCCTGCTAGCAGGCGTGGCCCCAGCAGGCGTGGCCCCAGTCGTCCTGGCATAGCAGGCGTGGCACTTTCTCGACACCATAGGGGGTGCGCAGGGGGTGGTCTCTCGCTGCGGTCTCTATACGCGCCGGTCGTCCAGGCATAGCAGGCGTGGCACTTTCTCGACACCATAGGGGGTGCGCAGGGGGTGGTCTCTCGCTGCGGTCTCTATACGCGCCGGTCGTCCAGGCATAGCAGGCGTGGCACTTTCTCGACACCATAGGGGGTGCGCAGGGGGTGGTCTCTCGCTGCGGTCTCTATACGCGCCGGTCGTCCAGGCATAGCAGGCGTGGCACTTTCTCGACACCATAGGGGGTGCGCAGGGGGTGGTCTCTCGCTGCGGTCTCTATACGCGCCGGTCGTCCAGGCATAGCAGGCGTGGCACTTTCTCGACACCATAGGGGGTGCGCAGGGGGTGGTCTCTCGCTGCGGTCTCTATACGCGCCGGTCGTCCAGGCATAGCAGGCGTGGCACTTTCTCGACACCATAGGGGGTGCGCAGGGGGTGGTCTCTCGCTGCGGTCTCTATACGCGCCGGTCGTCCAGGCATAGCAGGCGTGGCACTTTCTCGACACCATAGGGGGTGCGCAGGGGGTGGTCTCTCGCTGCGGTCTCTATACGCGCCGGTCGTCCAGGCATAGCAGGCGTGGCACTTTCTCGACACCATAGGGGGTGCGCAGGGGGTGGTCTCTCGCTGCGGTCTCTATACGCGCCGGTCGTCCAGGCATAGCAGGCGTGGCACTTTCTCGACACCATAGGGGGTGCGCAGGGGGTGGTCTCTCGCTGCGGTCTCTATACGCGCCGGTCGTCCAGGCATAGCAGGCGTGGCACTTTCTCGACACCATAGGGGGTGCGCAGGGGGTGGTCTCTCGCTGCGGTCTCTATACGCGCCGGTCGTCCAGGCATAGCAGGCGTGGCACTTTCTCGACACCATAGGGGGTGCGCAGGGGGTGGTCTCTCGCTGCGGTCTCTATACGCGCCGGTCGTCCAGGCATAGCAGGCGTGGCACTTTCTCGACACCATAGGGGGTGCGCAGGGGGTGGTCTCTCGCTGCGGTCTCTATACGCGCCGGTCGTCCAGGCATAGCAGGCGTGGCACTTTCTCGACACCATAGGGGGTGCGCAGGGGGTGGTCCCTGAGCGCGGGCTATACGCGCCGGTCGTCCAGGCATAGCAGGCGTGGCACTTTCTCGACACCAGGGGGTGCGCAGGGGGTGGTCCCTGAGCGCGGCTGCTATACGCGCCGGTCGTCCAGGCATAGCAGGCGTGGCACTTTCTCGACACCAGAGGGGGTGCGCAGGGGGTGGTCCCCGAGCGCGGCTGCTATACGCGCCGGTCGTCCAGGCATAGCAGGCGTGGCACTTTCTCGACACCAGAGGGGGTGCGCAGGGGGTGGTCCCTGAGCGCGCGGCTGCTATACGCGCCGGTCGTCCAGGCATAGCAGGCGTGGCACTTTCTCGACACCAGAGGGGGTGCGCAGGGGGTGGTCCCTGAGCGCGGCCGCTATGCACGACGGTCGTCCAGGCACAGCAGGCGTGGCACTTTCTCGACACCAGAGGGGGGCGCAGGAGGTGGTCCCTGAGCTCGGCCGCTATGCGCGACGGTCGTCCAGGCACAGCAGGCGTGGCACTTTCTCGACACCAGAGGGGGGCGCAGGGGGTGGTCCCTGAGCGCGGCGCTATACGCGCCGGTCGTCCAGGCATAGCAGGCGTGGCACTTTCTCGACACCAGAGGGGGTGCGCAGGGGGTGGTCCCTGAGCGCGGCCGCTATGCACGACGGTCGTCCAGGCACAGCAGGCGTGGCACTTTCTCGACACCAGAGGGGGGCGCAGGAGGTGGTCCCTGAGCTCGGCCGCTATGCACGATGGTCCTCCTCCCTTCTCTCCTCTTCTTCCTCCTCCTCCTCCTTGCCCTCTACCTCCTCTCCAGGAGGCCGACCTGGCTTGTCCGTGCTCGGCCGCCTTAGGTGTCTCGTGCTCGACCGACCTGACTTGTTCCCTGCCGCGCCGCATGCGCGACACACACCTCACTCTTCGTACAGCACAGCTCAGCTCAGCACAGCACAGCACAGCACATCACAGCACAGCACAGCTCAGCTCAGCACACAGCTCAGCTCAGCTCAGCACACAGCACAGCTCAGCACAGCTCAGCACAGCCCAGCACGGCTCACCTCAGCACAGCACAGCACATCACAGCTCGTGGCACTGGCGCAAAGCCTAGCAAGCGGTGCGCAGGGGGTGGTCCCTGAGCGCGGCCGCTATCCGTGCCAGTCGTCCAGGCATAGCAGGCGTGGCACTTTCTCGACACCATAGGGGGTGCGCAGGGGGTGGTCCCTGAGCGCGGCCGGTCGTCCAGGCC